CTCCAGTACATCTTGTTTAAACGTCATCTCCTTAGAGCCCACAATGTCTAAAAGAAGATTCTGTCACTTCCCTTATAGATTTACTTGTGGCCTGCCACTTATCACTACCTTATATCATATTGTTTTTTGTTTTTTTTTAAAAAAGCAAACCTCTGTGAATACCCATAGAATGTTTTGCCCATTGCTTAATTCCTAGACCAAGAATGGTACTTGGTGTATAACAGCTACTTGGTAAGAATAATATGAATGAATGAATGAATGAATGAATGTCCTGAGTAGCTGGACCACCGTGCACCACCATGCCTAGTTTACAAGTTTCTTCTTGCCTCACCACTTGAAAACTAAACTGATGGGCCACTTCAGTGCATTTCCACTAGTTCACAGTGTGTGCAACTGTGTGTCAGAGCACAATGCTTTCTAGTGTTTGGAACAACTAGACGCACAAAATTCTTCCTAGCCCGCTACAGCCAGACAGCTTTGTAGGGCTTCCTGAGGATCCCATGCTTTCTCAAATGCAGCACACTGAGCCTTAAAACTGGAGTTTATAATGCTAAGTTCACAGCACTGCCCATAAAACACATACCCCGCAAATATTGCTTCTTTGCATAATATTATTAGGTCCCCAAAACATCTGTAAATATGCAGTTGGGCAGAGAGGGGGAAGAATCTGCAGTTTCTTCATCCTTTGTCTTCCCCCACAAACAGTCTTCTAAGGGGAACACAGATACTGCCAGGCCCAGGGTCACTTTCACAATGTTGTTACGGGCTGCCCCAAATGTCTGAGAGGCTGAATAGAAGTCAAAGAGCACAAGCACCAGAAAGTGTGGTATTCTTTTATATTGTTGACTTCATTAGATTTACTTAGGGACTTTGGTGGCAGGAAAGGGAGAGGCTGCTCTTCCCTTGAGATCTAACACCTTTCTGGGTCTGCTACCTCTGTTCCCAAAGGCCAGCATTGCCACTGGCTTTCTCCTGGGCAGGGAAGAAACCAGCTTGCAGGGGCTCCTGCCCCACCCCGGGCAGCTTCTCTTCACCTGCACGTATCTCAGAGGTCTGGAGTAGGGCAGATTTGCAGGCACACAGATTAACAATTCTCATCTTCCTACACATGAACAACGTGTCTGAACAGCGCTTTCCATGATGTCACTTTTGTCTTGTGAGGTTGCTGATGGCTGTGTGGCTGTGTTCTGCCCACACACAACATAATAATATCAACAGTTTGGGGCACTGTTGGATAGCAGGGACCGTTCTAAGGTTTTAGATGTATTTCCTCACTTAATCCAGGAAAGCCACTGTGAGACACGCACAGTTTCTTCTGTCCGTTTAATGGAGTGAACATCAAAGCACACAGATTGTTTAGGCAATCACTCTCCTGAAGACGCACATGAGGTGACAGTGCTGGGATCTGAACCTTGGGCAGTGGGGCTGCTTTAACGCCTCAATTCTCCTGCCTCTATAGATGCAGGGACGAGGCTACAAATGAAGAACTGTAGGGAGAAGTCAAACTAAAGTGCTTTTTAAAACTGACATTGCCTCTTGGCTGTAGTGCTCAGGATCACTGCAGTGCCTGGTGGCTCAACGGCCAGGGCCCAACCCACAGCTGCCTCAGTCCAGCTCCCAGGAGCTTCCAAGGCCTCTTCCCAAAGCACCTATGGGAGGCGCTCTGGGGTGGGGAGTGGGGGTCTGGCAATGGGAACAGGAGGAAACTCAGCAAATATCATCAACCTAGACCTTTGGCGCTGGACTGGTTGGACCCAGCTCATCTGAACAGCACAGTTTTGGCCTTTGTCCCTCCACCAGCCATTTATCAATACACCAAAGGATTTTAGAATCCACATTTGAATCTGTTTCCCAGATTGAGCTATGACACAATGTGCTGCTATAAGCGTGGGAGTACACATGTCATTGAATCAACCAAGTGGAGCAGGCTGCAGCGGTCTACTCTTGCGCTGGAAGCCCTAATGGCCATTTGGGGCACTCACTGCAAGTCTGAAGGAACTGAAATGAAATGCTGTGTGGAGGGTGGGTGTGGGCTCTAGTCTCCCAGGCTTCTGTCCCTCAGTGGTTTTTGTCTTAACAGATACTCATGGTAATACTCCAACCTAGAGAGAAATCATTCTTACAGGAAGCCACAGTCTAAGTGGCAAATGTAGAGAGAGCTGTCATTTTTCTAACTTGGCATGCGTATCAGTGGAAACAAACACCGCTTTACCGCTCTTCTGTGCTGTGGTCTAATGAAGCAGTGTGTCTATGTCTCCCTTCAGGATGTCTGCTGAATAGAAATAAATGACCTTGGTGTTTTCCTGAGGCAGAGGTAGCAATGCACATTTGCAGCGAGATTGCTTTCTTCCCAGTCCCTTGTGGGAGCTACTTTATCATGGTTTTTAGCCAAAAGGTACTACATGCAAAAGAGGAATCCAGAGGGGGAGAGCTAATCTGAAATCCAGATGCGGAATTTTCTTTCCCTTATTAAAATAATAGGGACAAGCTTAAAATTACACTGTGCTTACTTGTCTAGTGTTTTCCCATTTTCCCCCCTTGGATTCCACACCTGCCATTCCTACTAGGAGTGAAGGTAGCTTCTCCAAGCAACGGTCTTGGCATACGGGACGTCTGAACCTTCTGGGAGCAACTCTCATTTACAACAGTGCAGCCAATTTGTAAGATTGTAAGATTCAGAACCAGGGAAATGACATACACTGATTGGTAATTCACTTACATTCTAATTCCCTCTCAGCATGCAAGGCGTGTCTATCTATTTTCATTAGGAGCAACGAAGACCAGCCAGTAACTCAGGAACCAATGTTTGACGTGATTTTAAAATAGATTGCACTTTTGAAAGAAGGAAGGCATAGAAAAATATATGGCTTCAGATTAATTATCTTAGATACCAGCACAAGTTA